AGAAAGTATTTGTGAGATGGTGTGACGGGGTGGGGAGAGAAGGGGAGGAAGAACTGCCCTTAGCAGGGAGGCTACAGTGGACAGGTATACCAAGGGTACAGTTCCCACCCTTCTCTGCCCTATACTTTTCTTCCCCTCACACATCTGAACAAAGTGAACTGTGTAAATGGGCCTTACTACAGAATGCACAACTGGAGCAATTAGGCATGGATAGCTCATTCCAGATAACAAGAGCTTCCAGTGAGACCACTGGATGAACTCTTTTGTATTCTTCTATTCCCTGTGGCATGGCCAGGAGAAAGAGGTTATGGGCCATGAGCTGTGGAAATTCTTGCTTAATACATTGCCTTTGTTGGGCTGTAGGCAGCTGCAGCAGTAATGTACCAAGTGACCCTATGGTGCATGGCCAGCACAGTCCTGTGGCCATAGAAATGACAGATTTTTCCTGTGTGGGTTGCCTGAGGCACTCCACAGCTGCAGCCAAAAGTTACGATCAGAACAATTTTTCCTGACCAATATGGAGCTATTTTCAAGTGCTACAAGTTCACTGACTGGAGAAAGCAAAACAAACGAGGTCATGAACGATGTAAAGAAATGATCCTTTCGTAAGGATCCGCTATCGACTGTGATGGTGCTGTGTTTCAGTTGTGTACCAGGATGGTACCAACTGGCCCATGGTGCACTACAGTTGCAAGCCAATTCAGAACTGCCTTTTTTTTCCCCTCGGTTGTCTACATGCAGGCAAGACTGTTGTTCTCTGCGTATGTGTGCTTAAATCTTCTATTCCTTTATGTGATTTCTGTGGTGTCTGTAACAGTATTTGATATTATTTTAAGACAGCTCTAAGGAAGTCAGTACACAGAAGCAATGATTTTTCAATTTTAATTTTTGTTGACTAAATGTATGTGATAATTCTTAGTGCACTTGTATGATGATCTACTTTAAAACAGGCAGTCTGCGAGCATATCTAATTTTGGACATCCCAGCCTTAACATGGCCTATGAAACCACTCCCAGAAGGAGGATGAAGTAGTGTGTATGACTGAAACACAGACATATCTTTGCAGTGAAGTTACATCAAGTTATACCAGTTTAAGTCATACATTCCTGGTGAATTCTGAACTGACACAAGTTCAGTAAAAGCAAGGCATCCCTCTCACACCTTTGAATGATGTCTGTCTGCTTCTTCTTGTGAGCACAGACAGAAGACAGAACAAACCAGGAGTCAGATTCTGAAATAATATCTGATCCTAGGCTGGAAAACAAAGTGCTGAACACAGCTCCATTCAATACATGACTAGAACAGAGGTTCCAGTTCTCTGAAAGCTTTGCAAAAGAGACAGAGAGAGGGATGAAATGCATGGGTTGGGTCCAGTCTTCTACCCAGAAGGACCCTGGAGTCAATGCTATTTTGTCAGATTTAAATCAATATAAAAAAATGAGGCCTTTTCTGGAAAATTTTGGTTTGCTCATATTACAATGTTTACTAATTTCAGAGTTACTAGTAAAACTCTGTCCCAATAAAATCAGAATCTCTGTCTTTTTATCACCAGTATAGATCCCATGTTTTCCCAAGCTTTTGCTTCCATCCTGCTTTCTTTCTCCCTTGAACAGTACAATTAATGCTGTCTTATGTGCATACACCACTATTATCCCTATTATCCTTAGAGTACAGTCAGAACATAGTTAATTTACTAGTGCCTGCTGCTTGCCTTTGTTGTCATTAACAATCTTCGTTTAATAAAAAGCATTTTTTAAAAATGGTTTTCCTGTAGTACTTTTATTTTTCCCAGAAAAGGCATTAAAATTAATTTGTTTTCACTCAGTCTGTATTCCTGAGTGAATACAGCAAGGAGCAAGACAAAAAGATAAACATGTGAGAGAACCCCCAAAGAGAAGGTAATGTAGGAAAAAACAACTCTGATTTAGGTTCAATACACTCCTTTTTTTTTTTTTTTTTTTTTTTTTTCCTTTCTTTCTTTCTTTCTTTCTTTCTTTCTTTCTTTCTTTCTTTCTTTCTTTCTTTCTTTCTTTCTTTCTTTCTTTCTTTCTTTCTTTCTTTCTTTCTTTCTTTTCAGATTTGAAAGCAAAAAGACTGACAGATTGAAGACTGGCAGAAAACATCACACTGCAATTGTGCTTTCAGTGTACTGGGAAGATGCTTGCTTCCTTCCCCACTGCTCCCTGCAGCTTCTTTAGGGGATGAGGCTGAAGGTAATCCCGTGCAGGCAGATTTGACCTAAAGGTCAGAAAGGCTTCACTGGATTTTCTGTTGAAAATGGATTGTACTCTTTGCTGATGCCATACATTTCACTAACCCTCCTAATGTGCCGCTGTTTCCCTTGCACATTTTTCACATGTAGTCTCTGTCTGTACTACCTGGACTTGAAGCGATACATTACTGATACTGAAAGTACAGCACCATTACATATCAATTGCCCCATTTTGTATTGGGCCACAAGAACTGAAGAAGAAAATTAAATTTTCCAGAGGAAAAAAAATGATTTGAAAGAGGCTCTAATTCTTCACTGGTTACCATTCCAGAAGAGAAATTGTGCCACTAGTTGCACCAGACTTATGGAATTTGGTACAAAGCAGCAGCAGCTATCCTGGTTCAATCATTTCAGAAGGACGTACTGACACATAAGTGTTCTAAAATGCCTTGGATGCCCTTTCTGTAGATCCTCTCTAATGAAAGCTGTGAAAACTGAAAGGTATGCTTTATGAGTACACCAGCTGTCTCCTGCACAGTGTTTGTCAGAGACACAAAGGCTTATTACAGGGAGAGTAGGGGATCACATGCACACACAAAGAACAACAGGCAGTGCTGTAGAGCTGAAATTCAGCAAAGTTTTGCACGCCTGGCAATAATGCAATAACCCTTTCAGATTTGCAGAACTTCCTCTTCCTTCTTAGCCTTTTCAAACTTCCGGAAACAATTAAAAATGTAGCATTTTCCACAATTATTGTGAGTTTTTGAAATGAGAACATTTTGATGAAATGATGCTGAGGGATGTGGTTTAATTGGCACAGTGGTGATGGGTTGGAGGTTGGACTAGATGATCTTAGTGTTCTTTTCCACTGTTAATGATTCTATGGTTCTATAATTCCATGATAATAACAGTTCTGACAGTGAATGCCACAGAAGTGTTCTATGGGAGCTGTACGGGGAGTGCTTCCTTGTCTCATTTAGACTAGATCCATTGCCATTCAATGAGATTTCTGTTTTAGGGAGGAGAGATGATGTGTGATGGGAATTTCGTGGTCTGATGCATCGCAGAATATGAAATATGGCAGGGGAGATCCGCTCTATCTATGAGAATTAAGACATGAGGCCATTCAACTGCAGCTCCATCAAGACAGTGGAACAGCGTAACAGAATTTAAATATTTGAGTTCCAGATATTTTACTCATAACCTTTTTTTTTTTTTTTTTTTTTTTTCCATTGTAAGAAAAGTCCTAATAAAAGCAAAGCACTGATGAAGATCACAGAATCACAGAATCGTAAGGGTTGGAAGGGACCTCCAGAGATCATCGAGTCCAGCCCCCCTGCCAAAGCAGGTTCCCTACATCAGGTCGCACAGGTAGGCATCCAGGCAGGTCTTGAACATCTCCAGAGAAGGAGACTCCACCACCTCCCTGGGCAGCCTGTTCCAGTGCTCCGTCACCTCACTGTAAAGAAGTTCTTGCGCACATTGGTGCGGAACTTCCTATGCTGTAGCTTATGTCCGTTTGTCCTTGTCTTGTCTCCATGTACCACTGAAAAGAGACTGGCCTCACCACTATGGCCCCACACCTTAGATATTTATAGACCTGGATCAGGTCCCCTCTCAGTCTTCTTTTCTCAAGGCTGAACAGGCCCAGTTCACTCAGCCTTTCTTCATAGGGGAGATGCTCCAGGCCCTTCACCATCTTTGTGGCCCTCCGCTGGACTCTTTCCAAGAGATCCCTGTCTTTTTTGTACTGGGGAGCCCAGAACTGGACGCAGTACTCCAGATGAGGCCTCACCAGGGCAGAGTAGAGGGGGAGGATCACCTCCTTTGACCTGCTGGCCACGCTCTTTTTAATGCACCCCAGTAAGCCATTGGCCCTCTTGGCCACAAGGGCACACTGCTGGCTCATGGCCAACCTGTTGTCCACCAGGACACCCAGGTCCCTCTCCGCAGAGCTCCTCTCCAGCAGCTCACCCCCTGACCTGTACCAGTGCATGCAATTATTCCTCCCCAGATGCAAGACTCTACACTTGCTTTTGTTAAACCTCATCTGGTTTCCTGCTGCCCAGCTCCCCAGCCTGTCCAGGTCAAGATCCCTATGTAAAACGGAGGAACACAACGTAGCATGGCTGCTGCTCCCTGGAATGGGCTGTGGAAGCGATCTGGAGGGCATCTTCCCTCATTAACAAGGAAAATGTGAGTTCCATCACACAAAAGGCACAACGCTTCCTCCCAGAGCCACCCGTGAGAAACTCACTCTATCTATCTTCTGTTTGAAATTTAAATCTGAGCCTAATGCCGCCCACCATATGAAACGAATGTGATTAAAACGACGGCTCCTTTTATTTTCAATTAAAATACATGGGAAGCGTTACCTTCCCGCACCACATGCAAACGCGGGCGCATAATGCGGTGCTGGGAAACCGGAACGTGCAAACCCACTGACCCAGTTCCACCCTCACGGTGGACTGAAATGCAAAAAAAAAAAACACAAACCAAAACAAACAAACAAACAAACAAACCGAAAAAGAAAACTTTTCCCCTCGCTTCCTCCTCGCATGCCATCCAGGGCAACAAAGTAAAACGCGCTGTATAAAAAAGTGGCAAAATGAAAAGCGTTAGAAGGTAATTCCTCGGGGCTTTCTACCCCGCCTAGGGGGCGCCGCGTTCGGCTGCGCTCGGCTGCGCTCGGCCTCACTCGGTTCTACTCGGCTCTTCTCGGCCCCTCTGTTCTTCGCCCTGCCCCCTTTTCGACGTCACTCGCCGGTCTCCAGGCAACGGCCCTGGAGCGCCGCGAGCCGGGCTGGCGTTGGCGGTCCGGTCATGTCTCTGCCGCTGCTGCCCGGCTTCTCCGTCGGCCGGAACGTGAGTGGTACAGACGGGACGTCCCTTCCTTTCCCTCTAGCCTCGTTGCCCGAGGGCCAGAGCGAGGAAAAGATGAGCTTAAGGCTGTCGGCAGGGCTGGCAGCAGGGGGCGTGGAGAGGGCGTTGTGGAGCTGAGCGCATCACTGCCTGCAGGGATAATTTGCTGAGTACTGTGCCGTGAAGTGATGTGAGGAGGGAGGAAGGATTTGGGAATGACACTGGAGGTGTTGCCTTTAAGTAGCAGACAGGGCAGTACGGGCTTTCTTAATAAGTGTGAAATATCTGGAGGGGAATCTGGTTTTCATGCTGTGAGCTGAAGGAGGGGGGACAGACTCTTTAGCAGGCACTGTGGTGATGGAACAAGGGAGATGGTTTCAAGCTCAAAGAAGGTAGAATTAGGTTGGATATAAAGAAAAAGTATTTTATAGCGAGGGTAGTGACACACTGGAACAGGTTGCCCAGAGATGTGGTGGATGCCCCATCTCTGCAGACTTTCAAGGTTGGATCACCTGGGCAACCTGACGAAGCTGTGGTGTCCCTGTTCACTGCAGGGGAGTAGGGCCAGGTGGCCTTTAAGGGTCCCTTCCAACTCTAAGTATTCTATGAAATGACCAGCAAAGCCCTGGTTTCTGCAGCCCAACTGCTGGGTGCTTGGCTGGCTCCTGAGCCTAGTTCCTCCTGTGAGGGGTAGTACCAAAGGTGTAGGGAGGAAGAGTTTCCAAATCGTTTGTTAAGACGCACACACTAATGCCAACGATACCATGAGCCTCAGCACCACTTAAGATGAGATTGCTCCATGCTGTTAGCATATCTGGGAGCCCACTCTATGAGCAATAAATCAGCCTGCATGAAGTGCAGCCCAGTGGAAAATCTCTCTCTAAAGAGGAAGGACAGGTAGAAGCAAGAGTAGCTACCTAGGTAGTCATATAAGGAGAATGAAACTGGGTAGAAATATGTGGGCTCCCCAGCCTCATTGGTGTGTGAGAATTGTGGGGTACCTGCCAACACGTCACTTCTTGCAGGACCTCTTACAAGCAGCAAGGATATTCCATGTGACTTCTTCCCCATGGTCAGCAGGCTGGTACCATTATTTTAGAAGGGAAAGGAGAAAAGAGTTGGTGGTGAACACTGTTTTCTGAATTCAAATTTGTATTGTAAAGAATTGGTTGTGTATGTACCACTTCAGATAGCTGCTAAGTGGGCACATCAGAAGCAGTGAAATTGGTGTGTACCATTCTTATCTGCTAGGTGGAGATAGAATAACAAATTGCTATGCAGGAACTAATTGTTCTGTAGTTTTCATTTTAAATCAGTTGATGGAGATTATTGTTTTTGGGGTTGTGATAGAGCTGTCTTCAGAGCCCTACTGCAGCTGGCTTTGGAGAAGCTTTGTAACAGAGATAAGACCCAGTGTTTGACTACACATGGTTGAGGAGAGTTAACATACAGAAAACAGTGAACACGTCATACTGAGTGCATATAGTGCATGTATGTGCAATGAGAACTACAGATGAGAAAACAAGTTAAAATCACCACAAGACGGTGTTGTGATGCCATAGTTACACTGTTGTGAAAACTCCTAATTGCACTTTTTGTACAGTCCTTAGTTTAGTGGGAGTAATAATGATAGCTGGCCCTACTTGAAAAGCATTTGATCTCTTCATAGCTGTTGGCTATTCAATTTAATTTCATTCGCAAGTGAGAGGCCAAGAAGAACACATTTAAAGGAGGAAAAAAAATTAAAAATGACTGCCATAGATATATTGATAAGGAAACATTTTCTTGCTGGTACTGTGACCACTGCCATCAGTGTTTCTTATCACACAGAAACAGTAGTAGCAAAGCATTTCCTGAAGAGGGATGAGCAGGGGATAGGGAACTGCTGCTGCTGTCAGTCCTTGGTTTATAATTATGGGTATTAATTCCACTCTTGTTCTTATCACTGTTCAAGCTACTGCTGCAATCCTCTGTTCTCTGCCTTCAATACTACCTGCTGCATACAGAGGCTCTCAAAAGGTGGAAGAGGTATACGTGTCCATTTGGATGTATTTAATGAGAAGGGTGAGCTCCCACAGAAAACCAGGGCTTTAAGGTGGTTTCAACACCAATAACTCCAGGGCAGCAAGGATTGCCTCTGGCAAAGGGGAATTAAGAAATCCTTACACAGCGCTTGCATCTTTGTTTCTAAGGGTCACTGGCTCTTGCAGTACAGCTCCTCTACGATTATTATTACTCTCTGACAGCTCTACCAGGAATGCTTGCTTCCTATCCAGCCTGCGAGCAGAAAAGCTTCATCTCAAGCTGCGTGCATCTTCCCTTTGCTGCTGAAGGCCAAAGACTGCAAGGCCTGGTGCTGCAAAAAGGCAGCAACCCCTGTGTGATGTCTATCTTATTGTTTTTCCCCTTAACTGTAACTGACTGGTACCTCTTTCCAATTCATGCCCCAGAGCAATGCTGCTGCTGTGGTTCTGTTTAACTGAGACAAAACCTAACTGCTCCGGCATTGCAGCAAATTAGAGTAGAGGGTAATACACCAAGGTGATAGACACTTTCAAAATAGCTGGAGTGGTTCCTATGGTAACATAACATAGCATTTCCTCAGCTCTAAGAGAAGAGCTGGGCTGAAGGTGCCATGCATGTGAGGGCTGGTTTCCCCTGCCCTGACAGCACTGGGGAATGGCCTTACCCTGCCTGGCAGGGCATGGGGATCCCCTGTGGTGCACCACCCTGTTGAGTTAAGATGTTAATGGTCATTTATTTTTGTGAATACATACTAGCTTTGTTCCTGTCACCAAAGCCAACATAAAATAGCCAAAGAAAGACCAAACACTGCTGTATCTTCTACCTGCAAATTCTGGCTGGTATGAAAATTGTGCAATAGAGAGGTTTTCAGCTTTGCCAATGCAAGTTATATATGTGCCAACACACACACAAAAAAATCACATGCCTCAATACCCACGTTTCATGCTGCACATGGCAGAAACACTACGTGTAAAAGGTTTGCTCTGTTACTCCAAGAGTGTGAGTGTGGACTGTGGCAGGAATGTTTCTGGTGACAGTACAGTCATGCTGTGACTTCCTCTGCTAGTGTTACTGATCCACCTCCTGCTGTGAAAGGCACCTTCTGACAGCAGGCTGCTGTTCTTGCCTTGTATCAGCAGCTGATGGAAAGGACTATTCCTGTGGGTTGGATTAAGTGAGTTCTCTCTGACCAGTGCTTTTCTGTGCCTGAGGTTTGGAATCCTCCTCAGAGAGGGAATTCTTTTCAATTCCATTCTCTTGGAGACTCAGACAAAGACTTTATAGATCTTGGGGGATAAAAGAGTGATACTTGAGAGTATCCATTTCTGCTGCAAACTCTATTGGCATAGAACAAATTCCCTCTCTTCCTTGTTTATTGCAGTAGCTTGGAATTGCCCTCACTTGTGCTACCATTGCTGTCTCTGGATTTTTCCTGGTTTAACTATTTTCTGCTGCTCTGTAATCATTGCTGTCAAAATGGGACATTCATTTTCCTTGTCAGAGTGCTTTCCAAGCTCTTTATGCTGTGCCTTCCCCTGCTCCAGGCTCCGGCCTTCGTTCCTGAGCCCCTTCCACTGTTTGCTGCCTCACTCCCCAGGTCTGTCTGCTCACAGCCCTGGCCCAAATCTTTCTTAGCTTTCCATCAGGGCTGCATTTTTGATTGCTTCCTTTATACTAGACTGTTGTCTCCTCTCAGGTTGTCCTAGCTCTGGCAGTAAGAGCAAGCTTGTCATTCTGTTCCAGGCAGAAAGATGGTGCATCACCTTCTGGGACATGTTAGAGGGACACCACTGCAGCTGGGAACAAAGTCTTAGGGCAATCCTCCTTTTACAATACCACTCATCCCTAACCATACTGAAATCTCTGAAGGTGAATGGAGACAATACCTGTGGCTGAAATGTGGCTTTTCAGTAGGAAATGGTTTTAAACTGAGACAGGGGAGGTTTAGGTTAGATATTAGGAGGAATTTTTTCACTCAAAGGGTGGTGATGCACTGGAACAAGTTGCCCAAGGAGGTTGTGGATGCCCCATCCCTGGAGGCATTCAAGGCCAGGCTGGATGTGGCTCTGGGCAGCCTGGCCTGCTGGTTGGCGGCCCTGCACGTAACAGGGGGGTTGAAACTGGATGATCATTCTGGTCCTTTTCAACCCAGGTCATTCTATGATTCTATGAAATGAGTGCTTGCTTTGTGAGAGATGCTACTTGTGTTGTGAGAACTGGTGCTACTTGTCTCACTTCTGTTCACTGGCGTGACGTGTTTCAAGAGGGCAGGATTCTGCATGGATTTCAGTGGCATAGCATGCAGCATTTACTTGTATTTCTGTTATTTAGCTGAAACAACTAGGACACCATATCAGCAGTCCAAAGTAGTTCAGAAATGTCACTGTTCATCCCAATACAGGATTTGAGCCAGGACTCCACAGTGCAGCTGCAATTAAAAATGAACATGGGGAAGAGTAACACAGTGCTGCCAGTGGCTTTTGCCCTAACTCCCCGTGGCATTTGCTTCACAAGATGTGGCCCCTGGGACAGTGGCTGTGGTGACAAATTTCTACTTGTGTTTGGTTCAGCTGAAAAGTACAGCTTCCTCCTGTGACTGTACCAGAGTATTGAAGAGCAAGATGCTGAGAGCACGGGGCAGTGCACCCCAGTGGCTGAGTCCACAAAACTTCAGAGAATCCCAACCTTCACATTCGTCATTGTTGAATGTATCCCCAATACTTATTTCAGGCTCACTGCACAGAAAATGGCCAGCTTTGTTCAGCTGATCTACAGCCAGCATTAGCACAGCTGACACAGTAAAGCTCTTTCCCTGCACTGTCACAGATTTCTTTTAGAAGTCGCTTAATACTGCTGTGGATGTAATGTGATGTTCTGTCACTATTTTCGGTTGGATGCTGTCTGGGTTCGTTAGCTGAAGTTTCTCAAATGTCATTTTTCTCTTTTGCAATCTTCCATTGTAATTACTCTTTTGCTTAAAAAGAAAAGCCTTTTGCTTAAAACCTGCTCATGTTTCTAGAGGAGACTTCGGTGATCTTCACAGAGGAGCTTATAAGTAGTACTGTGATTATTGATCTAAAATGATCTTTCTGTAAAAAGCTACAGGAACTCCACAAAAGATTCTTAGTAGAATTGCAGCTGTTGGGCCACTTATTTTTCAAATCACACCTTGAACTCTGTTGTGATTTCAGCCCTAAGAAAATTTCCACCAGGTGCAAACGTGGATTTCTTTGACAAACAATTTCTCACACTGTAACTGACCAAAGCCCAGTAAAGGATGGACAGAAAATGCTTTTTGAAGAAGCTTTGAGGACATTAAGGGACTTTCCTTTGCTCAGGATAGCTGCCACCCTTATTGCGCTTTAATAACTTTGCTTTTCTCCCTTACTCACGCTTTGGTAATAGGCAGAGAAGAAGTACTTGCTGTGTCAAAATGGATCTGCTGGTGTATGGAGCTTTTAGTGTAAATGAGATGTTTTTGCCCACGAATTTCCTTTTTAAATCTCAGCTTGACTCTAGCTATTCCATATTAGACCTAACAAATGCTGAAATCTCCCTCCTGTTCTGTCTTCTCCCCAGCTTTCTATCAGCTTATCAGGGAACAAAAGTAATAATAAAAAAGGGAACAGAACAAGAAAGGGCAGCTTGCTAGTTTCCAAAAAACAGGGAGAAAACCATCCTTACTGGCAATCTGCTGGGGAGGAGTGGCAGACCCAGCCAGTTCTCCCCGGCCATCGTCCTCACCTGCAGAAACAGTGCTGTGGGCCTCAGGGAAGGGTGGGATGACCGAGGGAAGGTCTTCTCTTAATGCCTATACGTCAGTGCTTGTGCTGTGCACAGAAGCATGACATTTAGTATCACAGCTCAAAAATAAATACATTAAAAAAAAGGTGCTGATATTAAATATTTTGTTTTGGGCATCTTTCCTGCAAATATGCAGCTCTTCTTTTAATCTTGTTAAATTCTTGGCTTGAGCGATGTTGCATGGCAGGGAGGCCCATAGGCCAACTTTGTTACACAATAAATATTTCCTTGTGTTGATTTTGTCTTTTATTTCTTAAATAATTCAAGAACCCTTGTTCTTGAATAACTTTTTGTCCTCCTCATGTGTCCTTTATCTTATGCTACATGCTGTTTGCCCTTTCTACTCACCTTTATTCAAAACTCTGCTTGCATTTAGGCACTTCCTCTGGGGAAACGTATCCATACTCTCATTCATTCCTGCTATCAGTATGGGAGCCCCATCTCACCTTGCAGCATCTGCTTTGAAGGGTGCTGCTTAGCCCAGCCTTTGTTAACCTAAGCAGGGTACGGCCATTGATTTTTATGGCATTAAAAATAATCAGTTATAAAAATAATAAGTAATGTGGGTTTTTTGCATACCACTGCCCTTGCATTATAAGCAAAATCTAAACTAAGGTAGGGATTGAGCTGTTTGTTGAGCTGAGGGGGAGCTCTCCTTCCTGTGTCATTGAGCTTAGAGCACCGTTGAGATTTTCACCTTCGGTGTGCACTAGTTTGTGTATATGAGCAGTGAATGTTATGAGCCAAAGGTTAGCTGCCTTTCAGATTCCTCACTCAATTTCATATTGGCAGAATAAAATAACTAGTCAGCTCCTTTCAGATTTTGCTGCTCCACTGCTTTCACTCTTCCCAGAATATTGGATGTGTATTATATTATTCTGGAGCACTCAAACGTTGCCATGATGAACAACATTTCTCTTGGCCAATTTTTATTCATGATGGTAATGCATTGTTGTCTAAACCTTTTTGGGGAGCACTGGTTTAAATGTGTGTGCTCTAATTACTGTTGCTCAGCCTTCAAGGAATCATTAAGGTTGGAAAAGACCACTAAGAGCACCAGTCCAACCAGCAGCCCATCCCACCATGCCCACTGCCCACGTCCCTCAGTGCCACATCCACACGGCTCCTGAACACCTCCAGGGACAGTGACTCCACCACCTCCCTGGGCAGCCTGTGCCACTGCATCACAGCTCTTTCTGAGAAAAAATTATTCCTAATATCCAACCCCAACCTTCCAAATGCAGTGGGAGAGGCAGTTCTGTCCCTCTGCTACATTACTGACATATCTGCTCCAGTGGAGCTTGGAGAATTATGCTGTCCAGCCTTTCCATTGCCTGGGTCCTTCCTGTGCTCTTCCCTAGCATCAGTTCCTCCCCTTTCAGCCTCAGCTTTCCTCACGGTCCCTCAGCCCCAGGCTGAGGGTTGGGGGCACAACTCAGCTGTTCCAAAGCATTTCAAGGATTTGAAGGAACCAGGAAAGGAGCAGAGTAAGAGGAGCTAACAGGTCAATACTGCCGCTAATGGGAGGAAGGGTTTGTGGTGCTGTCTCCTGTGTTTGCTCTTCCTGTTTGTCTGATCTGTGTGGGGTAGCTGCCTCTGTGTGAGGGAGCAGGCCAGTAGAGCAGGAGCATTCCCACAGGCAGGACTGGTGCTCTTTGGAGACTTTTTTGCATCACTTCAAGGCAGCCTCCAGTACTAGTCAGGAAATGTGAGCAGGCAGGATGGCTTTCTTTGCAGTTGGTTGTTTCTAAGGACTCGATCTGTAACTGCCTGAAAAACAATAATAATGTAAAAAAAAAATTGCTACACAGGTTATCTTTTGAAATAAGCCTGGATAGAATAAATTTTCTGTCTTTTGATTCAGCTCCAGATTCCCAAAATCGAAGTGTGTTCAGGATTATGCATTTTGCACTCCGCAGTTCAAATATAAAGAAGGTCTTCAACATAAGTTATGACAGCAGACTGTTTTCTGGGTGCTCCTGAAGTGTTTCTATTTGACCTGTGGGGTTCTATAGAGGAAGCTTTCCCCCCGCTACTTTTTGCATTCTTCTCATGGGTGACTTGCTTCCTTATTCCATAGTCCTTATTGCGAGGAAGAAGAAGAGGGGGACAACAGCTGGTATCATCCTATTTTTCAGCCTGGCTATGTTACCAGAATGCCTTTCCATTTTGATCTGTAAGACAGAAAATTGACTACTGAAATAATGTCACTTCACAGGCAGCACTCAAGTTGTTACAGGTTCTCAGATAGTATTAAAGGTACTTACAGAAAAACTTCTATGTGATTTATCACCCTTGCATAGCTAGGTAACTCTTATGAATTTAAAACCACACATTAAAATGTCGTTTTCTCTCTTTGCTTCCAAATTTTTGACAGTTAGGGAAAGAAAAGTTCCACAAATCGCAGCACTGGGGCTACTGCAATAATGTTGCTATGCTGCTTGCAGAAGATAAACCTGGAATAGGAGGTGAACCATTACCTGGACAGAAGCTGAAACCTAAATCCAGCGTGTTTCCTGCAGAGCTTGGATGTGGTGCTCCTGCCTGGATAGCATTTGACAAGCAGGTATGTGGAAATCAGTATCTGTATGTTTTTTTAGGAACAGATACAATATGACAGATGTGAAATTCAGTCAAATACTTCAGAAGATTAGTTTTTGTGTGGAGAAATGTTCCTAGACAAACAAAAAAGGTGGCAACTTCTGTTTTTCCATAATACTGATATGTTGTATAATTAAGGTAAACATATGTTTTACAGCAATATACACAAATACTTCTGCACTGGGATACATCTCCTACGGGACATCATAAAAATAAGGGGGTAGTTAGTATATATCTATTTAAAATAGTGATAGCAAATAATTGATTTGCAACAATGTACTACTTCTTTTCCATTTCTTTGTTTTTCAAATGATCAAACAAGGAAATGTGTAGTTACAGGAATGTAAGAAAGGCCTATGTCCAGGAGAAAATCTGCATGACCACTAACCACAGTGCAGTTCTGTAGGATTAGAATTCCCTTATCTAGTCTTGTTTGTTTGCTCAAAGTCCTGTTGACTTTATTCACATGTAGGGAAATAGATTGTGTCTGTTATAAATACTGGAATTTAGAATTAATATATACATATACTTATTTATTTTGTAAGAGTGTAATGACACCTTTAAAGCTAGAGAGTTATCAAATAACTGTTATCTAGATGATATGAATTTTCAAGCACGCTGTCATTACTTTCCTTTTTAAAATTTACATTAAATGCTACTTGGTGATGGTTTATTTCTAAAGCAATAAGCCTATAATCAGAGAAGGAAAATGATCCAGAAAAAGAAATCATTCAGCAAATTGCAGAAATGTTGCATGACAAAATTATTAGGATATTAAACACTGAAAAGAATGACATAATTTTTGTTTTAAAGTAAAAGTCACATAGATAATTTCAGTATAATTGCCTATTTGTCTCCTTGGCAGACCAGAACTAATGCAAGAAAATGTAAAGCTTGAATAGATAGATACACATTGCCTCTGAAGTCCCTAGTACAAGTCCCTAGTACTGCTCACTTGCTTTTCACCAATGTGCTCAAATGTGAATTGGTATAATGTGCCTAAGTGTTAAGGCCTTGGCCAGTCCTGCACATGTTCTATCTGCACCCTTTTTTTGATATGAAACAGTGCTTTTGTTTCTTGGGGACATACCCGTTAGCAGGATTTGGGTCCAAGTTTATGAAATAAATGAGTTAAGTAGAAAGCAAGGGGACCTGCTGGTGAAATGAGCTAGCTAGCTACTCTCTTTGTCTCATCAGTGTATTCCTACACAGGGCAATCAATGCAGGATGGGAGTTTACAGGTTTGGAATTAAACTCTGGAAGGCTCACGTCTCTCTTTTTTTAAATTATAGATAGTTAAAGAGTACTACCCAACTAATTTATCCTCCCCAGGTAGGAGCCTGAAATGGCATTATGCCTGCCAGTGCTGCAGTTTGTGATGCAGCCAAGTGGACTCCATGAAAAATGAAGAAGTGTTAATGTTTTTAAATGTACTCTGCTTTCTTACCCATTTTTCTTTCCAACTTTCAGCAGTACTAGTTTGTTGGAGGAAGGACGGGCGTAATACTTCATATTAAGTGGGTTAAGAAATAGTTTTTGTAACTTCATATGCCTAATAGGAAGCAGGTGTAAACTTAATTTCTTCTGTGATTAAATACATACACAAGGCTTCCTGGGCTTGAAAAGATGTTTATAATTTGACTTCCACAGGTGCTAGGGAAACTGCATGCCAACTTTGCAATATGCCACAGAGTTTGTTCAATATTTGTTACTTCCAATTTCATGCCCAACTTCTAATTTCTAAAAAAAAGGGCTACTGTACACAGCAGTGTACTACAGATGACGCATAAGTTAGGAAATGTTGAATTTTGACTATTTCTAAAAGTAAGTTTATTTTAAAATGTAAAATAAGTCATCATCTTTTATGTTCCTTCTCCACCCTTTCTGAATTATGTTTCAATCTGCAAAAATGCAGTTGGCTGCTGAGCGTGTGCCAGTTGTACACTAGCATGCTCATAAAGAAGTTGCAGAAGAGTTTCCACAAAGTCATCAGGTGACGTAGACCAGGACATGCTTAGTGAAAGGGATAATTACAGTCTATTTAATGCTCAATTCTGTTTGAAAATAGACCCTTTCACCTGGCTGGTGTCTCATGAGAAGGCTGTTGTCAGAAATGTCTGCTGACAGAATTAAAAACAGTTAATAATCAAATAGCACAGTTGAACAATATGCTTGTCAGAAATTCTTACTTTAGTGAGACTAGCAAAACAGGGAGAAGAGAGTACACGCATCCTGGAGTTGTATGGCTTATCACCAGATGGGCAAGGGGTGAAGTTCAACTCCGTGTTGGCTGAGCCCTCAGGATTCTCAGATACATGGGTTTCAAACATTTTTAAGCCCAGGTCTGCCAGATGCTCACTGGAATGAAGCAACTAAGTTCCTGTTTTTCCACTGTGTTGTTTTGTCTAATGAACCAAGAATGAAGATTGTTGAATTTATTAATCATTACAAAAATGAATTATGAGTTAGCACTGATATGACCCACATATTTGGTTGGAGGTGCTGGTGGTGGAAGCCTAGTTTTTAGTAAAAAACAGACTCTTGCACACTCTTACCACAGCTAGCATCCTGGTACATACTACACTACAAAATAGATGTTTCTTGAACATTCCCTTGAACATGGTCTTGGTGATTAAAGAACATGAATGATACCAAGAAGTATAAAAATCGTTTGCAAAGTTTGATCTGAGATCTCCTGACATTAACACCATTGGAGTAAACCACTGAATATTTCACCTGTGAAGGCTTTTTTCTTGCGTTATTTCTCTCCCAAGAAACCACAGAGAGGCCAGTAGGTGTGCTCTCTGAGATTTCCTTTCTTGCTGAATTGCAGAATAAGGTAAGTTTTGAAATGACAGTATTGCACGGCTCTAAGTGACTCCTGAAAAAATATAATTTTTCTCATAGTCTTCCATACCACTCATTAGAGAGCTTGCAAGACCTGCTTGAAAAGGACTCTCCTTTTTACTTACCTCAATGGTAAAGCCATTACTGTCATTATTTTCCAGGAATTCATTGAATAGAAGTCTAAAAGTTTCTTCATGAATTAGGTAGCTCATTGTGCCATCAAAAATGCTTTGTTTGGAACAATTTTCAAGCAGCCTGCTGATAGTTTTATACTTGATTTATTTCTTTACTCTGGAGTTCCATCTCTGCTTAAATGTTGTGATAATAAAAATGCCAACCAAAGAATATTAAATTTATGTGATTTAATGTGGATTTCCATTCTTGCATTTCTGAGAAGTAAATCTATCTCCTGAAATCCATACATTTAATTAGCTTATAATGTGCAGAAGTCTATTTTATTGATGCATTATGCAAAAGCATTGAAGACTTTGCTGCTTTATATGTATTTATTGTTTTTAATAGGTACTGTCTTTTGATGCCTATTTTGAGGAAGAAGTGCCAGATAAAAATCAAGAACTATATAGAATAAGACACTGTAAAATATACTTCTACCTTGAAGATGATACAATTCAAGTGGTTGAACCCCAAATGAAAAATAGCGGCATAATTCAAGGTATGTATTTTTAATAGCATTTTAATAATGGTAATTTTTAATATTTTTAATAATTTAATAAAAATTTTTTGCTGAAAGTGTAAATACTTCCAGTGAAGTCTTGGTCCATTTTAAGGAATACATGACATGAATTCTTAATATTTAAATGGACAGTGAGTGAATAGCTGTAATCATCTTATTATGGATCACAATATGAACTTTTCTATTGCCTTACTTTTTGAAGATGTAGGTTTAGTAGGGCAGAATCCATTCATACACACACACACACATTTTTTCTTTAATGTGATCCTTGGTCTTTTTTTGGTTTTGTATCACTTCTGGAAAAGCAATTTGCATTCTGGATTTCCATTCCTGGTCCCGGTTCCTTCCTATGTTAATAAATTCTCTCGCTGAAGCTTTCTTATAGTTTATTAGAAGCTGCAGATATCTTTGCATTTACTGAAGGAGAGCACCTTTTGTGCCTCTGGCTGTTGGTTATGATTAAAATACCCTTGGCTGAGTAGTTTTTCCGTGACACTTCTAAGCTGCCTTTCCTCAGAGTCATATCACTACACTTGGGCCAGCCTGAGGACTTGTGGAGAAAAGTTTAGTAAGCTGATTTACTGGAGTATTAATGAACTTGGTTTACATTAAGAAAATGTGATCTGGCAGTCAACATCCTATTGCAGAAAGGGAGTACAGCTGCTGCTTCTTGATATTTATAGGTCACTGCCAAAATTAAAAAAAAGAAATTGCAAGAGATGTAGTCCAGATAAGCAGAATGTCTTGGGATGAGTATTTTGGGCTGACTGCACCTCCCAGTCCCAGAAGATAGTTTATACATTTTGGTGGATCTTTGCACAGCAATTTAGAATTTTTTTTTTTAAATTAACTCTTTAATTGTGATATTCTTTTCCAAGATGATCAGACGCTATCAATTTATTTGTCTACAGAATAGGATAACATTTAAAAGTATTAAGCATTACATTTCTGTTGTACCTGGGATAAAGTTGCCTGGGAATTTTATCTTAGAGTAGTACTTTGAACCCTGCTTTCCCTGTATTGAAAAGTTCTTGCCAGAAATTTTGCTGGCTGTTCAGCAGGAACTGATTCTGAATTCAGAGGAACCTCATCCTACTCCTACTAGGGCAATTGATTTTTCATGACCTAAAGAAAAGCATATTGGATCTTTTCACCTGGGAATTTATAAGACACCCTCACTCCAGCTACCTCTGTGAGGCTGGAAACATTCTCAGGTGAAGGATTTCCTTGACTTGTGCGTCATGGCAGTGGGAGCAAATGTTTCTAGATTATGTGGCTTGGAACAAATGACTATCAACAAAGGAAATACAGTTAAACTAAGAAGCAGAGGTGATGTCCCTGAGAGGGAAGCTAGAAACCAGGTTCATTAATGCAGAAAGTGTAGCAGAAATGCTAGGTTATGGCCTAAAACAGTGATTGAACACCTGGTGGGAAAGCAGGGCCAACCCAAAGGAGCTCAGGTGCAATGCACTTGAGTGACTGGAACGTGTGGAGCCAGGATCCACCCCTTCCCAGACCACATTTAAGGGTTGGCAGTGGAGGCAAGGGTGTCTCACTGGAGATCCTTGCCTACTTGAGGCCTTCAAAGGTAAGTAGATGTTTGTTTGTTGTTTCTGTGTCCATGGCTGCTGCACTGGGGCTTGTTCTCATTTGCTGCAACCTAGACTTGTGCCACTCTGCTGTTACTGGTGTACTTTCCGTCATATTATAGCACTACATCATTATAGAAAGTAAATTCAAGGCTGATTGCTTTGTATCTAGCTGTAAGAATGAGTCTTTTAGGTTGCTACTGCAGTATGAGGTATGTAGTCTACTTCCTCAGGCCCCATGTTCCTGGTAGTCTAGTGATGATCCTGAACTGACAGGAAGACTACAGTTTCCTCCTATTTCCTTGGTTGGATCTTGTGTTAATGGTTGTTGAAGTTATCTTTGGTACAAGATCTAAAATTTACTGCATAGTATTCAAAAGGAAGAGGGATTTTCTCAGTCTTCTATGCAAGGATGTCTTGAAGGCCTCTATAGTTTTGTAAGAGCACTTCTCAATATGAGATAAATGAGTATGTAGAAACACTAATTAGGTGGATTAAAAAGAAGTGTTCCAGTATCTTAAAAGAGCACTTCATTTATTTGTTGCTTGTATCTTAGCTGGTGGAGAATCTCAGTTTATTGGTTGTGTCAAGAAAGGGGGAAGTGCAGTAGATTGAAAGATTCCCAAACCAGTTGGTATATGTTTAGGCTTCACAGCTAATGAGATGACTTTGGGCCTATACTCTATCATAACTATTTACATAAAGATTCTTCTTAAGCTAGAGATTAATCCTATGTAGAAGGGGGGGAGGGGGGAGGATGGAAATGCTTGTCAGAGAATTCTTGCTCCTGTGTGCTTAGGCACTGACTTTATGCTCTATAAATGAATAAAAGCTATGAAACTTACCTTAGGGACAATAAGTTTGTTCTTGAATACATGTAAAAGCGGTCTTAAACTGCTTATTTTCGTAAGAGTATGTATATAAAATGCATAAACCATAAAGTGCTTGTATGTGTATATACATTTATAATCTGCTTAAACCATTACTTTTGCTCAGTTTTGAAATAAAAATCAACCCGTTGCTTCTTTTATATTGTTCATATTCCCTGTTCTGATTGAAAAGAAGACTGAAAAGAACAGAAGCATAACTGCATTGTGAAGCTGTTAGGCTGAAGCATAAAGAATGAAGTTCTTGCCCATGATCATATAAGAAAAGTTGTAACAGGAAGAGAAGCTGAACTGAGCTGAAGTTCAGGGTCTTAACCATAACACTGTCCTCTGTACCTACGCTAAAATCGAATATTTCAGTTAATTAGAATGCCTGAGTTCTGTAGGGGAGAGTTCAACTGTAGGAGAACTTGGCTTGTTGAAATAAGGGCAAATTGTACTGAACAAAAGAACACAGATGTGGGGATGTGGATGATGGAAAAACGTGCGGGGAATTTAAAGAACGGCATAGGCTTAGTCTGTGTGGACAGTTATAGAGTTGCAATTCAGGGAAGAGGTTGCATAAAGGAGGAAAAGAAGTAAGCTTTGGTGGAAAAGATGCTGAATAGATGAACTTTTAATTTATCTTTAGAATGAAGAAGGTAGTGGAGATCCTGATTTGCATGCATACCCAGGTGGAAGAGATGTAACAGAGACAGCTATTCTTAGGAGTCCTCATGAAGAGTAGTTGTTGCAGTGACGGTATAGATCAAAGGTTGATGGTTGGATAGATCGAAGGTAGATCTTTGCTTGTCTGGTTAGTGCTTTGAGGCCACTAGATTACCAGTGCTTGTGCCATACCCCACAAATGAGAGCTTGATGGTCTGAATGGGTCTCTCTGGGCATGGGGGGGTTAAGGAAGTGTTCCTTCTGTGCTCCCCCTGCTGTGGTTAGTATTTGTTGCTTTGCTTGGGAAAAGATTTGGAGAGGCTTATAGACTGCAGGACGACTTTTGTGAAGGAACACCTGGTAAGTAACTTAGAATTCCTAGATTTAATTATGATTTTGCAAAATTAAGACAAATTGGCTTTAAAAAAGCCAGAGAATGTGCTTTTACCAGTGATCAAAATCTCAGAGTGACAAAGTAAGTAATCTGTGGGAAATGCATTCTAGTGACTTTAAAAAGTGCTTTGTGGAATTGGCTTTTATACTTGGACATGAATTTGGACAGTTAAGGTTACTACTGAGAGGCTGAAATCTAAAGTACATCTAATTTTGGAAACTGCCTTGCTACAGATTGGAAAAATATTTTGGAAATTCTTAGGAACACTGGAGGAAATCTATAGAAAGATTCTACAAAACTGCAAAACACAAAAGGATGCAGAGGCCAACCTGAACTTGAGAAACCAGAATCAAAGCAAAAAATACCAGGGCAATCACAATGCACAAGAACTAATCAAAGATAAGGAATGAAGGAAAGAACAGTCAATTTTACCTCATAACAAACTCCGCGATGTTCTTCCAGAGCCAGGAAGCTAATTATTCTCCTTATATAAAAGTACGCTCTCTCTTTAGAGAACCAGTTTAGATGGGACAATACTAGCATTTTGTAGTTCTAATTTTCAGTTCAGAGGACTGTGGCTGGCTGATACTGCCTTATCAAAAGGTTATTTATGTCCCCTGGGGTTAAGTGTAGCTTCCAGAGCAATCCAGGCTTTGAGAGCCAGAGCACAGTAGAGAGGCTGGCTGATTTTCCCCAAGGTCAGCCAGCTGAAGAAGAAAGTGAAGCTGCCTGCTGGCGAGGTTCCCAAGGCTGACTGGCTGAAGAGGAAAGTGCAGTTGGGAAAGTGAAGTTGTAGGCAGCTCCTTCAGTATAACTGATTATCTGAAAGTTTAAGAACTCCTTGGAGCTCTTGAAATAATCATGATCTTGCTTTTTAATGGTGACCAAAGCAGGACCTGGCTATCTTCAGAGATGGGTGACTAAGTAAATATAAGAAACTCCCTTTTTTCTTGGGAGGAACTCTTTGTGTTGCAGGGATAGTGGTCTTCTTTCTGTGTAAACAGTTGGAGTGTGCAAAATCCAAGTGTTACCCATTCCACTCCTCTCTAGTACGCTCCTGAGTAGTGCAGAGGGAGTAAGCTGTGCTGAGGAAATTCTTGATACCACTTTTGTCTTTCTGCAGAGCAATGTAGCAGCAGAGACCAAATTGTGTGTTGCCCAACTGCACATGCTGCCTTGTAAGCAAAAATCTTTCACTGCTATTAAGGTCTCCTTAATAGGGTCTAATAAAGTCTCCTCTGCTGCGGTAGCTGCCAAATACTCAGAAACCCAGAGAGAAGAAAAAATCTGCTACAAATTGTGATGTTGGAACTTGATGGCACCATTATTGGCTGAGAAAAGCAGCACACCAACTTCCTTTACAAGAACACAGTATAGAAGAGCTGTAGGCTGACCAGATGCAAATATTTAGGATCCTGATTTGTACTGCAGTTGGATAGCATACTCAAACTGATAGAAGACATCCATCCTTGGCAATAAGACTGTTGCATGTGCACAGATCCTTCTACAGTGATATCTAACGTGTTTCTAGAAGTAAAAATAGAATTATTTTCCAAAAGAAAGGTCCCAGCATTTTTAAAATTATCCTAACATGAGCTCATCACGTTTTATTAAATTTCAAGTTCAACAATATAAAATATTTTCTCCACGTGTGTAGATCAGGCACAGTGATATCTAATAAAAATGGAGGTTTGCTAGACTTGAGATTATCTATATGAGACATTTTCCATTAGGAAAGAAATTCTTATCCCTTCAGAACAAAATGGGTATATGTACTGTACTTAGAAAAGAGATATGGAAAAAATAGCTGTATGTTTACTTACTGGTTCTGAGGTGAATATAACTTCAGAAAACATGTAAGAAAATTGTAAACAATTATATTTTAAATAAAATTATAATAAAATCTGCATTAATGTGGGGGGTCTGTTCTGGTAAGCACATTATCTCTTTATTTTGTTGGAGCAACTCAATGATTAAGCAAAATTAGGTAAAGTTTTTGAATCGTGTTTTTGTTAATGGCAGTGCTATGGGGTCTTGCATCATGTTAAACATATTTTCTAATTAACATTTCTGTGAAGAGACCTCTTAAATATATGTATGTTTAAGCTGATAGAACTTCAAATTTATTTCATAGTCAAAGGTCAGTAGCCAAAGTGTCAGATTTTGGTACATGTGAAACGTTAGAATGCTGAAAAGCTCTAAAATAATTTATTTAATGTGAATATAAAGTAGAGTTGCTTTGTTGCTTTATTCCCCTGAAAACTTATGGGAGTTGAACTAATTATGACTTATATAGTAAGAGTTTACTCATTATAGGAGTTAGAATTTAACAAACAACTCTGATAATGTAGTTGTGGAAGGTATTTCATACAGATTAGTCCCTAGTGAAATAAACTGAACAGTGAAGAATTTCCATGAAGTAATTCAGAACTAAGGCCAGTAAAACACTAAACATAAATAAACAGCAATATATTTCTCCCACCTTCTCTGCCTCTCTTCATCTTTCCTCCACTCCCTCCTACCCCTAGACCAAAAAAAACAATGCTGAAAAACCTTCAGAAGGAACTTAAAGGGAAACACTACCAGATGCACAGCTGAAGGGCCCTGGAAAAAGTTCTGTAATGAGAGATAATGAGATATTTTTTAGATAATTGTCTACTCTTGTTGTAGTTCAAGTACTAACTTACTATCTTTAGCTTTGGAATTTTTGTGTGTTTACTGTTGTTGTTTTCAAGTTGCACCTTTTATTATTGTAGTTATAAAGTTGTTGGGAAGGTATGGTGGCAAGGAATTGTTGTAGTCATATGGGCTGGTGGTTTCTACCTGGTGTTAGGCAGTGGGTATCTGCATCTGTTACAGGGATATCCAAGTTGGTAAGCACAACAAAGATGGTGAGATTGAGGACTGGACCATCTTTGTATTCTCTATGTATTAGCTTCACACAGTGACACCTTTGTACTGATGTAGCAAAACTTTCACTGCTATTCTTTTTGTTCTCTTGTAATGTTGAAAACAAGAGCTTAGACCCAGCTTTGCTAATCTGAAGTTCTTTGGGAACTCAAACTTTACTCATGATAAATCATAGTTTGTCATATGTGCAGCTGCATAACTTTCCTTTAATGTACGTCTTTCTTATTTAACCTGCTGAGGCTGTTGCTTATAGGGTATTTTTGAAATACTTGTGGTATTTCAGACTCCCAGAATGGTTGAAGCTGGAAGGAATCTCTTAAGATAATCTGGTCCAAGTCGTCTGCTCAAAGCAAGGTCACCTAGAGCAGGGTGTCTATGGCCATAGCCAGTGGGGTTTTCAGTGTCTCCAAGGATGGAAATTCTACAACCTCTCTGGGAAATCTCTTGCAGTATGTTTGCTTAGCATCACAGTAAAAGTATTTCCTTGTGTTTGGATGGAATATGGAATTTCTTATTTATTATTATTTTTTATTTGCACCCATTGCCTCTTCTCTTGTCCCTGGGCACCACCTGGCTTTGTCTTCTTTATTCCTCCCCATCGTGTATTTATAGGCATTGCAGAGATCCCCCTTAAGCTTTTACTGTTCCAGGGTAAGCAGTTTCAGTTCTATCAGCCTTTTCTCATGTGAAGTCTCTTCTCTGTCATCATTGAGTAACTTTTGAAGCATTACCCAATTAATCAATATGAGTTTTCAGCTGATAAACACATAACAGATTACTCCTCCTTTAATGCAGTGAATATAAACAAATGCAATGCTCCAAAAATAATAGTGCCTGCTTTCACAAAAGTACTCTAAAGAAGGAAGCATGTCTACTAGCTCTAGTAAAGTTCAGATCTTTTTTTTTTTTTTTCCTTTTCTCTCTTCCCCCCCCCCCCCGCTTTTTTTTTTTTTTTTTTGTCTACTTTTTACTTCTTTGCTTGGTTGACAGCCCTCCCTGTGGCAGAGGGTTTGGAACTTGACCATCCCTTCCAAACCAAGCCATTCTGTGAATTTTAAGGAAGCTCAGTTGAATGCCCTTGCTTCCAAACTTGATAGGTCAGGTGTTTTCCCTTAGTAGGGCATTTTTTTTTCTTCTATGACCTTGATCGTATATGACTACCGTCACCCCACAGAATGTAAAGACAAATTTTATCTCTCCCGCACATTCCTACCCTGTGATTTTGCACAACACTGTGTTGTTTTTTTTTTTTTTTTTTTTTTTTAGAAGAAAAATTACTTATTCTATTAAGTACAGGAGACTACTTTTCAATGGAAGAGAAAGACGTCTCTTCTGTTAATGAAAGGTTGTGCTGTTCTTATTGGATAAAGTACTGACCAGTTACCTGTGAGGAGCAAATGGGAATTCATTTCTATTTACAAAGGTGCTAACTTTCTGCATTAGCCTAAGTTTTGTGCTTGAACTTGAAGTGCTAGAAGGTGATCATTGTATAGAGGTGTTGTTATTAAAACAAGATCCTCTTATCTGATAGTTCCTTTGCTGAGTGAAGGATAACTT